TGAATGCCCTTCTCTGATAGACTTGATAGCACAGAAATTTCCGTATTTCATAGTGTAGGTAGGACCTGAAAGGCATTGGAGTAAGGATAACTTTAGTACTGGGCCCAGCTCAGACAACTTAGTAGTTGTGTGACCTTGGACAAATCATGTCTTGTCTCCATTACAGTTTCTTAGTAGTGAAATGAAAATCATAAGTCTAGTTTTATTTAATTCATTGAACTGAATTGTTGCTTAAAGGAGCTAAATATAGTACCAGTAAGTACTTTGTATACCTTAAGCTCTGTGGGATAGATGGAAGTAGTTGTGAGCATTGTGATTCCCTTATGCTTTATTGATGATGACTTTGATTGTGCTTTAATTAGCATTATAATCTTTAAGAGTCTAGGGATTTTCTTTGTTTTCTTGGGCTGTCCTTTAACTTGCTGTCTGGTGGAGGATAAACTCCTGATACTTCTACCTTTTAAGTTCTCTGGTTACAGTTGTAGATTACTGTTTATATTAAATTTATATTTTATGTTATAAAAATTCAGAGCTGGGCACAGTGGTGAGTTCCAGGCCAGCCAGAGCTACATAGTGAAATCCTGTCTTAAAATAAACAAATAAGTAAATTTCAGTCTTACTGGGCCAGTGGTGGCAATGTATGCTTGTAGCCTCATCACTTTGACAGTGGGATTAGGAATGTAAGACCTGTTTTTGAGACCTTGTCCAAAATAAATTTTAGTATTACAGATCTGGATAACCTAGAAAACAAAACTGCTCCAGAATTGCATACCTAACGTGGAAATCACAAAAGGAAGAGAGTATATTTTCCTACACACAATAAGCATAGTGTTCATATATGAGTGTGACTTGCCTGTATCTGTCTTTTCCCCCAGGAGATTTTGCCTCACATACTGCTTTGCCACTTCTTTTCCTGCTAGGACATTTTCTGTGTCAGAAACTATGGGTGACTATATCAAAATGGGTATCATCAGCTCCTTAATGGGATTTTCCAATATTTTGCTGTTATAATGGTATAATGTAAACATACCAGTTTTGTATTGTTCTTAGACTTTGTCTTACCGTCTTTGGCTATGACTGTCAGAAATCAATTACCTTTCCCAACAAGTCATTCCTTTACTCTACCTTTTGTAACTATTGTGGGGTATTCACCAGAGAAACTGCTCATGGTTCAAGCCAATAGAAAGTCTTATTAGTTGTATGTCGACTACATATGATGCTTGGGATCCCAGTGTAGTCCTGAACCTTTCTCAGAGTTAGCTTTTAAGCACAAAACACATGTTCCGGGTTGACATACTTCAGTAAACAAGAACCATTAGCCAGAAGCTGAACTATGGAATCCAAAAAGCAAGGTTAGTACATTTAGAGACTTTCTGAGAACCATGGGCTTTGATGGATTAGGCCTTTGTTTTAGTTTTGGCAGGTGGTGCTATCTATATGCTGAGTTTTACAGCCTTTTCTTCTGTATTTGTTTTTTGTTTTTGGAGATAGGGTTTCTTTGGCTGTTTTAGAACTAACTCTGTAGACCAGGCTGGCAGCAAACTCAGAGATCTTCCTGCCTCTGCATCCTGAGCACTGGGATTAAAGGTGTGAGCCACCACTGCCTGAATGGTACTTTCATCATGGAGTTAGTTGTGCTAAGGTCTGGGACCCTGTTACAATAACTGCCTATTGTTCAGTGCTGTGATGTTAATAGCTTCCATTTGTGGGTGTGCTTTTCACGCTTGAAAGATATCCTGTATTCTTTTCTTTTTTTCCAACATAATTTTTTTTTTTTGGCTTTTTGAGACAGGGTTTCTCTGTGGCTTTGGAGGCTGTCCTGGAACTAGCTCTTATAGACCAGGCTGGTCTTGAACTCACAGAGATCCGCCTGCCTCTGCCTCCCGAGTGCTGGGATTAAAGGTGTGCGCCACCACCGCCCGGCCCAACATAATATTTTTATTGATGCACCCCAATCACACTTCCCAGTCCTCCCAGGTCTACCCCCCTTTTGTGAACTCATTCCCTCCAAAAAAGGAAGAAAGAAATGAAAAGCAAAAAATAAAAAATACAAGTCTAGTATGTGCTGCCCGTCTACTCACTAGAGTGTGGCCAGTCCCTCAGAGAACACTGAGTCCTTCTCCACTTGCTCCCCGCCAGAAGCCATCATCTGTGGAGAGCTACACTTCAGCATGTTTATCAGGGTTTCTCTGTATAACAGCTCTGGCTCTCCTGGTATTCCCTCTGTAGACCAGGCTGTCCTCCAACTCACAGAGATCTGCCTGCCTTTGCCTCCCAAGTGCTGGGATTAAAGGTGTGTGCCATCACTGCCTGACTCAATTTTTTTGTATTGTTGTTGTTGTTGTTTTTTTTTTTTTTTTTGAGACAGGGTTTCTCTGTAATAGCTCTGGCTGTTCTAGAACTCGATTTCTTGAACTCACAGAGACCCACCTTCCTCTGCCTCCCAATTGCTGGGATCAAAGATGTGTACCACCACTGCCTGGCCCTTATCACAATTTAAGAGTTCTCTGTAATATGAATTCTAGTTGGTCTTAATAATAAAAACCCACAGTCAGATATTAGGGGGTGAAAGCTGGAAGATCAGAGAAGCAGAGCAGCCAGCAACTAGAGTTCTTACCTCTACACAATTCTCAGACTGAAAAGGGGTGAGCTCTTGTCTCAGCCCACCTTATATTCCTCTCTTTGCTCAGCCATATCACTTCCTGTTCCTCCTCCCAAGTTTTGGGATTAAAGGTATGCGCCACCACTGTCTGGCCTGTCCTCTGTGGTTAACCAGTGGCTAGCTCTGCACTCTGATCTCCAGGCAAGCATTATAAGAGTACAAAAAGTGCCCTTCAGTGGCTTCTTTTCTAGGCTGTTACTTTAGAGAGAGAGAGAGAGAGAGAGAGAGAGAGAGAGAGAGAGAGAGAGAGAGAGAGAGAGAGAGTGTGTGTGTTGGGGGCGGTTGTCACAGAGCCTTCTATGATTTTCTCAACTGTGAGTCTGCAATCATCGATACCACTGCAAAAGTAGCTTCCTTGCCCTTTACAATCAGAGGGAGCATGAATCATGGACTTCTGCATGGTTTCTGGCAACAGCACCTGCCACATGGTGCCTGGTGGAAATACAGACCTCTGCTGCAGCACGAACCACAGACATCATCATGGTCCTTGGTGCCATGGACATCAATATGGCCCCCAGTGGCATTCCAGTTCATGAACATCAACATGGCTTCAGGAGACAGCACAGACCATGGACATCCACAGATCTCAACATGGTCTCCAGCAGCAGCTCAGACCATGGACCCAATACAGCCCTCATCAATATAAAATCATGGACATCAGCATGGGCTCAGGTGGTAGCACAGGCCACTCACATCAACATGGTCCCAGGCATCAGCACAGACCACAGGCATCAACATGTCGCACAGGTCACTCACGTCAGCATGGCCCCCAGTGGACAACAACATGGCTTTAGGTGTTAGCACAGACCACAGACATCTGCATGGCCTTCAGTACTATCACTGGCTGTAGACATCAACACGACCCCAGCTGCAGCAGGACCACAGACCCCAACATGACCCTTGGCACAGACCACAGATATTGATCAACATGGCTCAGAGCCAGGGTGATTGTTCAAATGGATGGTGTGTTTGGGGACTGAGTCTGAAAACTCCAGGCTGCTGCACACTACTGTGCAGACCTTTGGCAACAATGCGTTTCCCCGCTTCCCCTTGACCACAGCCTTCTCTCACACCTGTCACTGATGTTGCATCTCTACTTCTTCCTTTCTCCACGGTGCACTCACTGCTCTGTTCCTCCATCTTTCCGATCTCTCCATCTCATATTCGTTCGTCCTAGTGACACTGGAAACTGCAATGTGTTGCACAGTATATGTTTTTGCCCAAACAGCTTTACATGGAAATATTCATAAAAATGAGTCATTGGTCTGATTCAAGGTTTCTGGTTTCCTAGACCCTAGCCAAGACTCGTCTCAGATATCCTGCTGTTTGCCCAGAATCAGGGTTCTTTTGCAGCCAGACAGGACATCCAGGAGGGAAGGTTCTGTGTGAGCTCTAGGCTGCTGCACACCTCTCAGCCCTCAATGTTGGCTTGGTGCTTAACCTTTGTGCTGTAGCATGCAAGCAGCACCACTGTTCCATGCTCTCTCTCCCAGCAGGGCAGGCTGCAGGGCTCTATGCTGAGGGCCAGCTGGTGGGCCTAGGACCAGCCCTATTCGGTAATGGCATCTGGTTCTGCAGGACCAGCTCCTCTACGTGCTCCAACAATTTTTAGATGGAGTAGATATTGGAGTGGACTGACTCAAAACACTGGCTCTGGACCCAGATGGTGGCATTTGTCCCATATGGATGTCTTCCTGGCATTGTGGAATTCTTAAGATAGACTTGTCATGGATATATTCAGTCATCTGCCACATTAGATCTTTTTTATGTAGTTAGTCTTCTTTGAAAGTTAATAGTACTTACTAAAGAGTAAATGAAAATTTTAAGAATAAATGAGAGGCAAGACCCTGCATTTAATAGAACAAAACAAACAACAAACAAACAACCAATTAAAAATAGATGAGCTGGGGCTGGAGAGATGGCTCAAAGGTTAGGAGCACTGGCTGTTTTTCCAGAGGTCCTGAGTTCAATTCCCTGCAACCACATGGTAGTTTATAGCCATCTATAGTGAGATCTGGTGCCCTCTTCTGGCCTGCAGGCAGACAGACCACCTTATACATAATACATAAATAAATCTTAAAAAACAACAATAACAAAAGGTGTGGTGGTGTACACCTTTAATCCCAGCACTTGGGAGGCTGAGGCAGGGGGATATCTGAGTTTGAGGCCAGCTTGGTTTACAGAGCAATTTCCAGGACAGCCAAGGCTGTTACACAGAGAAACTGAAGAGCCCTAACAGTTGGAAAATTACTAGCTGTCCCCGGGGTGAGCAGCTGTACTTAAAGATAAACATCCTCCCCTGGTGGTCCTCAAGGACTTGGAAATATTTCCCAGACCTCAGTCCTCAAGGACTTGGAAACATTCCCCGGACCTCAAGGTTCCAGGCCAGTCACAAAGTTCAGCCAGGCACAGCTGTTGCCAAAGACAGATAAAGAGCCAGTCAGCCACAAGCCTATGACTGCATGAAGGTCTGGCACGGATTACCACACTCCCCTTGTACCCCCACCACCCCGTTTGCGGATTCAGGCTTTAAAAACTCGCTGTAATTTCTGTTCGGGGTTCACTCCTTCCCAAGGCTGCTGAACCCCTGCGTGACGCCTTAATAAAAATCCTCTTGTGTTTTGCAACGAACTTCGGCTCCCTGATGGTCTTTGGGGTGAGGGTCCCGAGAGAAAGACTGAAGGGTCTTTCAAAACCCTGTCTCAAAAAAACCAAATCAAAAAGAGAAGAAAGAAGAGATAGAAGAATATATATCTAGAAGAATCCACTTTCCCCGTTTCCAGGTTGCAGTTTTGCTGTGACTTCCAAGGCCTAGGCTGGGCTGAACGTGCATCTTAACTGGTGGTTTGTATTTTCTTACAGAGGTGCTCTGCACCGTGGACTTTGTTGCTCCAGATGACCGAGTAGTTTTCCGTACATGTGAAAGAGAACAGAACAGGGTGGTTTTCCAAATGGTAAGAGACACCTCCCACTCCAGTGTCTAGTGTCCTTCTGAGGTTTCCTGTTCGCTGGAATTTTCTAGTTCTTGCTTATGCCTGCCAGTGTCAAATGCCTGTAATACAGTGTACAGTGGTGGCAGCCTATATATTTGGCTTGGAAGTTTTTCAGAGATTCATTCATGATTGGGTACACTGTTAGAGAGACTGTGGAAATTAAGCTGTTCCATACCTCCAGTCTCAAACTTATTTCTTTCTTTCTGTGGTTTTTTTTTTTTTTGAAACAGGGTTTCTCTGTGGCTTTGGAGCCTGTCCTGGCACTCGCTCTGTAGACCAGGCTGACCTCCAACTCACAGAGATCCGCCTGCCTCTGCCTCCCAAGTGCTGGGATTAAAGGCGTGTGCCATCAATGCCCACTCAGTCTCAAATTTATTTAATTATAGGATTTATCTTTTGGTATGACTTCTGTATTTATTTATTTTTAATCCTTAGGACGGATTATTCTGGCCAAAGTGTTTGTTTTATGTAATATATATAAAAAGACTTATGTTTTCTAAAAATAGATTAAAATTTATGTTATAGATATAATCCTAATATAGTTTTTCTCTTTTTTTTCATTTTTGGGGGAGGGTGTTTCAAGACAGGGTTTCTCTGTGTAGGTCTGGCTGTCCTGGAACTCTGTAGACCAGGTGGCCTTGAACTCAGAGATCCACCCGTCTGCTGGGATTAAAGGCGTGCACCACCACCATCTGACTAGCTTTTCTCTCTTTCTTTAGGTGTTTGTTTAGGAATAGCTCCTGAATGACATTTAGGTATTTTAAAAATTTAGTAACAATGATAAACAAAATACATGGCAAAATATTAATTGTAGAATTTGAGTGTTGGCTATCTGATTATGTGCTCTAAATTTTTCCTTCATTTTTGGTATCTAGTGTGTGTGTGCGCGTGTCTGTGTGTGTGTCTGTGTGTGTGTGTGTGTATGTGTGTGTGTGTGTGTGTGTGAGAGAGAGAGAGAGAGAGAGAGAGAGAGAGAGAGAGAGAGAGAGAGAGAGAGAGAGAGAGAGAGAGAGAGAGACTAGCCAGCTTGCTCCAAGGATCCTCTGTTTCTGCCTCATGAGCACTGGAATTGCAGACAGGCTGCCACTATTGCCCACTTTTTTAAAACAAAATTTTATTAGATAACTTATTATTGTGTGTGTGTGTATGTGTGTGTGTGTGACACATGTGTGCTATAGTGCACAACTTTCAGGAATCAGTTCCCCTACCTTATGTGTCCTAGGGGTTTTTCTCAAGGTGACGTTCTTGGCAGCAGGTGCCTTTACCCACTGAGCCATCTTGCTGGCCCCTACCTGGCTTTTATGTGGGTGTTAGTAAACTGAATTCTGACCTTCATGCTTCCATAGCAAGTATTTTATTACTGAACCACCTTTCCAGCCCCTGTTTGAAAATGACCATGGCATTACTGTCTAGTCCTTCCAAGTTCATCTTTTCCTTTGTGGGTAAGCAAGTCTAGTGTACTGGCCTGACTTTTTTTTTCTTTTAGTTGTTATTATTTTATTTTATGTGTATGGATGTATTGCCTGCATGTATGTCTGTTCACCCTGTGTGTGCCTGGTGCCTACAGAGGTCTTTGGAACTGTATTATAGACATGTAGGTGCTGGGAATCAAATTGGGATCCTCTGGAAGAGCAACCAGAGTTAACTGCTGAGTCATCTCCCAGCCCCAGCTGGCATATGCATGCATACATGCATGTATGTGTGTGTGTGTGTGTGTGTGTGTGTGTGTGTGTGTGTAGAGTGAGAGAGAGAGAGAGAGAGAGAGATACCAATAGGTATGTTTGTCTCCATGTGTGCACTTGTGTCAAGACAGGTTGATGTAGTTTCTTGTGTTCCCAGGGGACTTCAGACGCAGAGAGAGCCCTTGCTGTGGCCAGGCTTGTGTAAGTTCTTCCCTCCTTGGGAATGCCTTGTCTCTTCTGTAAGCTGTGAGACCTTCATGTCACTAGCAACCCGTGTTTTACTTCTAGCCCCTTACTCTGTTTTCAGGTGAAGGGGATTATGTTTCTTTCCCTGTGGTATCTGAAGGCTGGCCTGGGACTCTTGTATACCCACATGGCTATATCCTAGAGATCTCTATACTGAGCCTTCATTTTAATGTTTATTCACGGGTTCCCTTTTCCAGGGACTCTTCTGGTAGTCCTGAAGCTAACCCTCATGAAATGTAGATAATATATAACCATCAGGAGACTGCACGGTGAGAGTGTTGGCCTTGGAGTTAAAGCAGAGCTCATTTGGAATTCTGGCTCTGCTCTTTGCCAACTGTGTGAACTTAGGTAAATTATCTATCATCGTTGAGAACTTTGTTCTCATTCATAAAATGATGGCTGGGGCTGGAGAGATGGCTCAGAGGTTAAGAGCACTGACTGCTCTTCCAGAGGTCCTGAGTTCAATTCCCAGCAACCACATGGTGGCTCACAACCATCTGTAATGAGGTCTGGTGCCCTCTTCTGATGTGTAGACGTACATGGAGGCAGGATGTTGTATTCATAATAAATAAAAAAATCTTTAAAAAAAATAAAATGATGGCTGTCAACCTCTGACATTATAGGAAGCGGCAAGTGAAATAATGCATGTCATGTCTTTGCAAGATGTGGCACATCATGAGTGCTTCATATTAGCTCTTGTGATTGATGACTGTGAGAGTCTCAGGCCATAACTACTGCATAGCATAGCACAGACTGTTATGAACCAGTGGATAAGTGAGGACCCTTTCTGTATCAGAGAACTGTTTGGAGTAACCAGTTGTGCAGCTCAGCAAATGAAGCCCGTCTGTTACGACTACCACCAGCACTACCACCTCCTCCTCTTTTTCTGTCCTGTGTAGCCCAGGTTTGCCTCAAATGTGATCTTCCTGCCTCTTTCTGAGTGTTGGGATTACATGTGTGTGCCACCATACCTGGCTCAGTTCAGTAACTTTTATAGAAGATAAGCTCTGGCAATGGGCTCTGTGCTCATACCACTTTTCTACATTGACAAATGGCTTCCAGTATCCCAATTGAAATGATAGTCCTAGGATGCAGTTCAGACAGTATTTGAAATGCCTGTTACGACCCTGTGCATCCACTCTTTATAGATGTGTATTCGCTATGTCTTTCTTCTGGAACCCTGCTCAGATGAGGCAGTTGCCGTTGGGGATGGGCTTCTTTTCTGATTTTCAGCTTTTGTCGTTGAGAATTAGTGTGTTTCACAGGCCCAGGAGAATCAGGAGCACAGAACCCCTTTATTTTTCGTCTATTTTCTTCCCTCAAGTGGAATATTTATTACCTTTTCTCCTTCATGTTTTTCCAGAGAAAATGATGTAGCTGGTATTGATGTCAACATGGGCTGTCCAAAAGAATATTCCACTAAGGTAAAATGATTTCCTTATATTCCTCATAAGTATACTGTGCAGATTAAATGAGGCTAACTGTACATGACAGCTAAGTGTAGTACCTGGCTCTGGGCTAGACTTGTGTGGATAAGGAAAATGCCCAAAGGGGTGTTATTAGGCTATGTATGATAGCAAATACTTGTAATCTGAACTTGCAGAGGCCAAGGTTGGAGGATGATGAGTGGAAGGCTACCCTGAGCTGCAGGATGACCTTGAACTTCTGAGCCACCAGCATTTACCTCCTCCCAAGTGCTGGGATTACAGGTGTTGTCACCACAACCAGTTTTATGAGGTGCTGGGGATTTAACCCAGGACTTCATGTATGCTAAGAATTCTACATCTCAGCCGGGCATTGGTGGCGCAAGCCTTTAATCCCAGCACTCGGGAGGCAGAGGCAGGGGGATCTCTGTGAGTTCGAGACCAGCCAGGACTACCAAGTGAGTTCCAGGACAGCCTCCAAAGCCACAGAGAAACCCTGTCTCGAAAAACCAAAAAAAAAAAAAAAAAAAAAAAAAAAAGAATTCTACATCTCCAGCCACTGCACTTTATTGTTAATGAATTCAGACTCTTGCAGATCCTATGGGTCAGCAAGCTGCCTCAGTGGGTAAAAGTACTTGCCGCACAGGCTTGATGATGTGCATTCAGTCTCTGAATCCTACTGTGGAAAGAGATAATAAATTCCTAGAAGTTGCCCTCTGACCTCCACACATGTGCTGGGACATGTATGTGCCCTTTCCCCACATACCATACATACATGGCGGTAACAGTAAATAGAATTAAATTGATAACGATCCTCCCTCTAGGGCTAGAGAGATGGCTCAGCAGTTAAGAGCGCTTGCTGTTCTCCTGGAGGACCTGACTTCAGTTCCCAGCACACAAGTCAAGCTGCTCATAACCACCTGTAACTCAATCTTTAAGAGACTTGAACCCTTCTGGGCTCTGAGGGCATGCCCATACATGTGTCACATGTGTGTGTGTATTAATCCCTTCTCTATTCCCCACCCATGATTTGTTAAAGTAACTCACAGTAGCTAGATAATGTGCTTTACAACTGTAATCTCAGCACTAAGACTGAAGCAGGAGGACTATAATGAGTTCAAAGCCAGCTTGAACTCATCCAGGGTTATATAATATGATCCTGTGTCAACAAAATAAAATACAAAGTAACCCATACTATTGTCTGATTATGAAAAAAGCAGAAAAATTATTGGCAAATAAGTCTATCATCAAGAAACAAGCATTGGAAGGAGTGATGCTCACCAGATAAGGATGCTTGTCACCAAGCCTGATGCCCTGGCTTTAAAGTCAGTGGAAGGAGACTGACTCTTGCAAGTTGTGATCTGCACACACACACACACACACACACACACACGTAAGTAAATGTTAAAAGAGAGAGAGAACTGTTGCTGTTGTTGTTGAACTTTAAGTTGCTCTGTGAGTTAGTTGTTGGTTTTCATATGCTGGTCTTTTTGTTTTTGTTCTTGTTTTGACACAGCATTTATCTATGAAGTACAAGCTAGCTTTAAACTCACCACTCTGTAGCTGAGACTGGCTTTAAACTCTTGATCCTCCTGCCTCATTGTGCCATTATGCTCAGGTGGACTCCTTGTGTTTTTTTTGTGTGTGTGTGTGTGTGTGTGGTTTTTTTTTTTTGTTTGTTTTATGAGACAGGTTTCTCTGTATTGTTTTGGAGGCTGTTGGTCCAGCCCGGCCTGGAACTCACAGAGATCCGCCTGCTTCTGCCTCCCGAGTGCTGGGATTAAAGTTGTACGCCACCAACGCCCGGCTGGACTTCTTGTTTTAAGGATAAGGTAGATGGTTGGTTCCATTTGTTATGACTCTTTTTAGATTCATCACATTGTGGTTCCTTATGGGGTCTGTGGTGTGCACAGACAATGCTACCTTCCTGTGTGGTAGGAAAATTGCCAGTTTCCAGTGGACCTTGGCTACCTTCTTGCTACACTTGTGTTGCCATATTATGGTTGGGACCATCCTTCGTTCTTCAATTGTAAGGCCTTGTGTGTTTCTTCTTAGGGAGGCATGGGAGCTGCTCTGCTGTCAGACCCTGACAAGATTGAGGAGGTAGGTGACAGTGACAGTGGGGCCCCAGATTTGCTGAAGTCTACCTAGATTCTCTATTTGGGGCCCAGAGGAAGAGAGTTTAATTTAATTAATTTATCTTTATGTGTTATGGGTGTTTTGCCTACATATGTGTCTGCACCATATACATGCAGTCCCTGGAGAGATCATTGAATTCCCTGGAGATGGAGTTCCAGGCAGTTTGTGAGCTATCTGATGTGGGTGCTGGGAACTGAACTTGGAACCTCTGAAAGAGCATGATGCACTCTTTTTTTTTTTTAGATTTTTATTATTTTAATTTTAAATAGCTTGTTTTACATGTCAATCCCAGTTCCCTCTCCCTCCCCTCCTCCCTCACCTCCCCACCACCACCCTCCCCCCCCCCCAGCCTCCCACCCTATTGCCAATCCCTTCCACATAGGGGATATCTAGAGTCTGTCATTTCACTCAGGGTAGGGTCCAGGCACTCCCCTAAGAGTCCAGGCTGAGAGAGCATCCCTCTTTGTGATATGGACACAGGGATAAACACTGATCCACTGCTCAGGGTCCCATAGGTTGCCCAGGCCTCCTCACTGACTCTCACATTCAGGGGGTCTGGATCAGTCCCATGCTGGCCTCCCCGCTGTCAGTCTGGGGTCCAAGAGCTCTCCCCTGTTCAGATCTGCTGTCTCTGCTGGTTTTGCCAGCCCATTCTTTGCCAGTTTGCTCATCGATCCTCTCTCTCTGTCACTGGGTTCCTTGGGTTCAGTTCAGTGTTTAACTGTGGGTGTTTGCCTCTGCTTCCATCAGTCACTGGATGAAGGCTCCAGGATGGTTATAGACATCAAGTTCACTATCAGGAATAGGCATTCGAGGTGGTCTTTACACTATTGCTTAGCTTGCCAATTAGTGTCATCCCTTTAGATCACGAGAGGTCACACTGGTGCCTAATCTGTCTTCTAACCTATGATTCCCTCTTCCTCCTATTCTACCCCCCCCACAGGAAAGAACCTAAGAGATATGCATGATACACTCTTAATTGCCCTGGCCTGACAAAATTTCTATTTTATTTTTGGCCTGAATTTTTTTTTTTTTTTGGTTTGGTTTGCCAAGATAGAGTTTCTCTGTGTAGCTTTGAAGTTTGTCCTGGAACTCTGTAGACGAGGAGGCTGGTCTCAAACTTACAGAGATCTCCTGCCTCTGCCTCCGGAGTGCTGGGATTAAAGGTGTGTATCACCACTACCTGGCTTTCCTGAACATTTTTAAGAAGTAATTTTGATAAGCACCTAGATTTAAAAACTCTTCAGTCAGCCATCACCTCTGTAAAAGTTTATATAAATAGGGACATGTTACCTGAGACCCAGAGGGCCTGAGAACTCAGATACGGTCTCCTCTGTATTGACTCTCCCTTCCAGGGTAATCTGAACAGAGAGCAGATCACTTTGGGTAGGGGCATGTTCAAAAGTCTTTGTGTATAGATGGTCAGGCCTCTCCCTAGGGGTCTGGATGAGAGCATCAGGGTGTCCTCTGTGTATGGACCATTTGGATAGAGTATACTACAGGCCACTTCCCATCACCCCCTGGTCCCTACCCCTTTTTTTGAGATGGGGTCTTTCTGAATCATTTTGACTGGCCTTGAACTCTTATTAATCTTCCTGTCTCAGCCTCATGAGTGTCCTTTGAGAGCAGACCAGGCCAGGGTTCTATGAGGCAAGCTGAAGTTAATCTCCCTTGGTTTTCCGTCCTTTGAAGAGTCTACAAATGGAATTAATGAGGACCAGGAGGTAGGTTGGCTTTGATAACTAGTGCTGCCTGGACATATGTGGGCAACAGACTTGCCATAGCACTACTTTTCTTTCTTATTTACCAGCAACATGGGGCACCAAAAGGTAGGGTTTTTTTTCTCTTTACTCTTTTGGGTTTTGGGTGGCCTGCTACCCAGCTCCCAAATAAAGACATGGAAACTTACTCTTTCTTATAAATGCCTGGCCTTAGCTTGGCTTGTTTCTAGCCAGCTTTTTTTTTTTTGTTTGTTTTTGTTTTTGTTTTTCGAGACAGGGTTTCTCTGTGGCTTTGGAGGCTGTCCTGGAACTCACTTTGTAGACCAGGCTGGCCTCGAACTCACAGAGATCCGCCTGCCTCTGCCTCCCGAGTGCTGGGATTAAAGGCGTGCGCCACCAACGCCCGGCCTGCCAGCTTTTCTTAACTTAAATTATCCCATCTACTTTTTGCCTCTGGACTTTTATGGTTCCCTATTCTATACCTTTCTTTACTTCCTACTCCATGACTTGCTGTGTAGCTGGGTGGCTGGCCCCTGATATCCTCCTCTCCTCCTTCTTTTGCTCCTTGATCGTCTCTTTCCCAGATTTCACCTCCTATTTATCCTCTCTGCCTACCAGCCCTGCCTATCCTTTCTCCTGCCTAGCTACTGGCCATTCAGCTATTAGCCCAATCAGGTGTTTTAGGCAGGCAAAGCAACACAGCTGCACAGAGTTAAACAAATGCAACATAAAAGAATACAATAGAGCCAGGCATGCCTTTAATCCCAGCACTTGGGAGGCAGAGGAGGTGGACCTCTGTGAGTTCAAGACCAAACCTGCTCTACCGAGCGAGTTCCAGGACAGGCTCCTCCAAAACAATACAGAGAAACCCTGTCTTGAAAAACCAAAAAAAAAAAAAAAATACAATAGATTTAAACAGATGTTCCACAGCATAAATAAATGTAATACACCTTAATATTCCACAACAAAGTAGTTTTTTCTCAGTGGCCATTACAGTGTTTCATTTGCTCTTACAGTCCCTTGAAGTAGACATGGCTGGCATTTGCTCTTTCTCTTCTCTTCTCTCTCTCTCTCTCTCTCTCTCTCTCTCTCTCTCTCTCTCTCTCTCTCTCTCTCTCTCTGTCTTAGACAGTGTCTACTTGTGTTGCCCATGCGAGTCTCATACTCCTGGATTCAAATCATTCTCCTGTGTTAGTACTATGTATTAGTAACTTTTCTATTATTGTGATAAAATACCATGACCAAGGCAACTTAAAGAAGGAAGAGTTGGCTGGGTGGTGGTGGCACCTGCCTTTAATCCCAGCTCTTGGGAGGCAGAGGTAGGTGAATCTCTGAGCTTGTGGCAGCAGTGAGGCAGGATCAGGAAGCTATGCAAGATCTTTAACTCTCAAAGCCTGTTTCCCAGGAATGTATTTTCTCCATCAAGGTTGTTTCTTCCATTAACATTTCCAAAAAGCACCACCAGTTGGGGACCAAGTGTTCAAATGCCTGAGCCTATGGGGACATTTCTCATTTCAACCACCACATACTACCAGAACAATTTTTATCTTTTTGATAAAAATATTAAACTAGGGCTGGAGAGATGGCTCAGAGGTTAAGAGCACTGCCTGCTCTTCCATAGGTCCTGAGTTCAATTCCCAGCAACCACATGGTGGCTCACAACCATCTACAATTCGATCTGGTGTCCTCTTCTGGTGTGAAGGCAGAACATTGTATATGTAATAAAAATAAATAAATCTTTTAAAAAATATTAAACTAAAAACCCAAACTAAACAGACACCTAAAAAATAACCAAAACCTAAAAATGAAATTCAGACACAAAACCAGATTATTTTCTTTTTCCTTCTTTCTTTTTTTTTTTTTTTTGAGAGAGGATGCTATACGTCAGGCTGGCCAGTGGGTCTGGTGAGGCCCGACTGCCTGTGGGTTGATAGCTGTTATCCTAATCAGATCTATGTTTCTGGTCCTTTCTCTTTTCTCCCAGAGACATGTGGCATTATTTAGAGCGTCACGAATTTCATGCTACCACCTTTCAATAAGACAGCCTTAGGAAGCTGGGCAGTGGTAGTGCACACCTTTAACCCCTGCTCTCAGGAGGCAGAGGCAAGCGGATCTCTGTGAGTTTGAGGCCAGCCTGGTCTAAAGAGTGAGTTCCAGAACAGCCAGAGCTACACAGAGACACCCTGTCTCAGTTACAAAAAAGGTGGGGGTTGTCCATTTCTCCTCAGCGTGATCCGACCAAGTAGCTTGGTCTTTTATTTCCCTAATTTCCCTCCTGATCTTTAATGGGCATATGAACAGAAATTCTATAGAGAGTGCCTAGAGCTACTTAGAATAAATCAAAAGGAAGTTCTCTATGACTGAATACTGTATCAAGCCAGTTATTTTTGTCATCACATGTCAAAGAGTTCAAAGAAAGCACTTGCAAGGGAACCTTCTGGAGATGTTTATTGATTTATTTTGAAGCAGGGTTTCACATAGTCTGGGCTGGCCTTCTACTCCTTATGTAGTCAAAAATGACCTTGAACTCCTCCTGTTCCTCCTGCCTCTACCTCACAAGGCAGGTACTACCATGCCCTAGCTAGAGTGAGAATTTTTGTGACCTATCCTCATGAGCCTGGCAGTCCCCTTCCTTAAAGTGCCCCTTTAAGGCTTGCCAGGATGACTGTGAGAAATCAGGTCTAGTCTGCTGTCTGAAGCAGCACCTGGAGAGGGTTCCTTCCTACTGAGCATCTTGCTGGTGCCTTTCAATAGCCTTTCTTGGTCTGATGTCTTGAGTGCCCTCCCTTAGATCTTAGATAAAGCCTGTTTTACTATAATTGGCTCTCTGCTGCCCCCATCTGTCTAGAATCAATATAAATGTTCTCAGCCTATCAGATAGTGGCTCTGTTGGTTCGAAAGAAGTCCAGTTCTTGGAAGAGGGCTGTTGAGATCACCTTCCTTCTCTCATGTCTGGCTGAAAGTGTTGATGTAGAAAGAAGATAGCAATGCCACAGACATTATTTATCATCTATATCTCTCTTGATCTGATTCTCACGTTGCCGTGTCATGCTACCTCCTTGACGACTTGATCTTTCTTTGAAACCTTTTCTAATTATTGTATAAGAAGCAGTTAAAATACATTGAATGTGTTATATTTCCCTTTTATAGTTTATTTGTATGTCTAATTTTTCAAAAGAGAAGGATTTATGAGGCCAGGACTTAGGCCCTTAAAGATCTTCCTGTTCTCATTCTTTAGTTCTCAGATAGCACTTGGAAGATTCTTTTTACTTAGAAAAGAAGCTGTCAGTCGCTGGGCAGTGGTGGTGCACACCTTTAGTCCCAGCACTGGGGAATCAGAGGCAGGTGGATCTCACAGTTTGAGGCCAGCCTGGTCTGCAGAGACAGGACAGCAGGGCTACAGAGAGAAACCCTGTCTTGGAAAAAAAGAAGAGGGGGAAGAGGAGAAGAAGAAGAAGAAAGCTGTCAGTCATGTGTTCATAACCAGGACTGAGCCTCAGGATTACACTGAGGGTGTTAGGCAATGATTTTGAAAGCACAGGTTTCTATTTATTTATTTTACATCCTGGCCACAGTTTCCCCTCCCTCCTCTCCTCCCAGTCCTTACCCCCAATCTCATCTCTGTCCCCTCAGTCCCCCTCCCATCCACTCCTCTTTCATTTCTGTTCAGGACAGGGCAGTTCTCTCATGGATACCAACAAAACATGGCATATCAAGTTGCAGTGAGTCTAATACTCCCCTGTGTATTAAGGCTGGGCAAGGTGACCCAGTATGAGGAATAGGGTCCCAAAAGCCAGTAAAAGAACCAGAGACAGCCTCTGCTCCCCCCTGTTACAAGTCCCATAAGAGTACCAAGCTACACAACTGTAACATATATGCAAGAGGGCCTAGGTGAGTCCCATGCAGGGAAAGCACAGTTTTCTAACCTCTGTCCTAGAGACCCATTCAGGGAATAATGAGGTAGGATTTAAGAGTTTGTGTTGCTCAAGCTCTCCAGATAATACTGACATTTTTCCTGGCAAAGGATCACTGTGTTCCATATAGGACTACATGCAGATCCACTCACTTCTTCCTTCAGTGTATTTAACATGAGTGTATATGTATGCATTTATGTACCATGTAGGCACTTGCTAGTGTTGGGGTTTTAGCATGGAATAGAGACAGAATCCTTGTCCCATGGAGTTTACACATAAATACATACAACAGTTAACTGCAAGTAGTCATGCATATACAAATTGTCCTTCTACTAGTATGCATGGCTCTTGTAGGTGTGTTCACTAGTACAAGCAGTGTGGTGGTTTGTTCCAGAAGAGATAGATGTTCCTGTCTACTCCTCTTTGCAGATCCTCAGCACTCTTGTTAAAGGAACACAGAAACCTGTGACCTGTAAAATCCGAATCCTGCCATCGGTAAGGATATGTTATTTGAAGGTGACAAATCTGGTGACAGAACTGAGCTTACTTTAGGAGTCAGCAGCTCCTTTCTTGAGTCTTAATGGAAACCTTGTGCTGTAATCTTTCTTACCCAGCTAGAAGATACCCTGAGCCTTGTGAAGCGGATAGAGAGGACTGGCATTTCAGCCATTGCAGTTCATGGGAGGTGAGTGTTTACCTTCTTAGTGATTGACTGGCAGGGAGATTCCTCAACAGACCCTACGTGACAAACAGCTTCTCTTTGTATGTAGCCTACCTCTGCCTACCTCTCTGATAGCCTGTGGATCCAGAGAACATTCAAACTCTGCATGGACTTACATTTGTTCATTCAATAAGTACCTTCTGATGGTAGGCACAGCTTCAAGCATTAGAAACATGAGAGGGAGCCAGGCGGTGGTGGTACAAGCCTTTGATCCCAGAACTCAGGAGGCAGAGACAGGGTGATCTCTGTGAGTTTGAGACCAGCCTTGATCTACAGAGTGAGTTCCAGGACAGTCAGGCTACACAGGGAAACTCTGTCAAGAAAGAAAAGAAACACAGGAGAAAGGGGAAGGACCATGCCAACTGAATCTTTTTCTTTCCATTTTATTGAGCACTAGCTTCTCCCTTGAATGACCCCAAGCAGATGGCTGTTCATTTAAAGGCACTGGCTTTCTTGTCTGCCTTGTTGGACTGCCAGCTGTCCTGATGTCTGCTTTAAGCAGTTCTTGTTTCTGTAGCTCATGTGTTCTCTATTGGTAACTGAGTTTTTTTTTCTTTTTAAAGGATTTATTTTTAATTATGTATATGTGTATATGTCTGTGTGTCTTAAGTGCAGGTGTTTGCAGAGTCCAGAAAAAAGTGTTGGACTCCCTGGGGCTGGAGTTCCAAGAGGTTGTTAGTTGCTTGATGTGTGTGCTGCAGACTGAACGTGTGCCCTCTGTAAGAGTAGGATGCAGCCAGGTGTTGGTGGTGCACATCTTTAATCTCAGCACTCAGGAGGCAGAGGCAAGCTGTCTCTGTGAGTTCGAGGTCAGCCTGGTCTGCAGAGCGAGTGCCAGGACAGGCTCCAAAGCTACACAGAGAAACCCTGTCTCGAAAAACCAACCAAACAAAAAAACTGAAGGGCCATCTCTCAGTGGGCTAAATCTCTTCATAGAGCCTAAGATGACATTGAATTCATGGTAATCCTCCTGTCTCAGTTTTCCAAGTGCTGGGATTATAGGCATGAACACTAGGGTCTGCTAAGCCAAGGCTGCTCTCTGTCTCCCTGTCAAACTTGTTTCTTGTGCCTAGCATGCCCTTTTGTTTGTAACCTGATTTATAGACTTTGGCTGACATCCTTTTTGTGGGAACTCAGGGGCTTATAGGAACAGCCCAGGTGGATGGTCATCCATGCTACTAAATTTTGTGGTATAACCTGAACAACAGCATACAGAACAAAAAGCGGAGATCTACGGTAGGAGGGTTTGGAAGTGACACATACACATATGTACACATACTGTATTCCTTGTTGAGGCAGTGGGCTTTAGACTCAATAGCCTGATTTGAAAGCCCAGCTCTGCAGTTTGCTACCTATGTATCCTTAGGGAAATCACTTAACCTCTCTGATTGACAATTAGTACAATTTCTTCTTCATAGTTTTTTTGAAGCTTTTATGAGATTGTGAATATACAGCCTTGCAAACAATATTAAGGGAACTTACTCTTCCCAGAAGTTGGAGGCAATTAGAATGGATTTGGGAGAGTTTAAGGAAGAACTTCCTGACCATCAGAAATTCAGCAAATGCAGCTATTTAGTATGGTATAAAACTGGCTGCTGGCGATGTAAGGAGTTGGAGGTGGAGGCCGGGTTGTCAGGCTCTTCTGAGAAATCGGGATTTAGCACAGGAGCTATGCTCAAGCAAGAACTGGTTAGTCACCTCTCCTGCTTATCTCTACACTTAGGCTGGGCCAGGCATCGCTGCAGCATGCCTAAGATTTGCTTACTCATGCACAAGAACTTTTTGCTGTTGACCTTGGTAGGAAGGAGCCCTGTGTTGTGTCCTGCTTTTCCTGTGGCTTATCGTAGCGGTCATGGTCTGTGGTCTGCCCTGGTGGCCCCTGGAACAGGGCCTACCCTGTGTCAGGTGCTTCTCCCAAAGATCAGCTGTGCAACTTGGCCTCAGCACAGGCAGCTGTGTGGGAGTGGCCAGTCTGAGCAGTGGCAGCTGCTCCAGGTCCCGTGGGAAGGGCAGGGCTGGGACTGTAGGGACAGCATTTTTGTAACACTGTCTCTTATTTCTGGCAGAGGCAAGGGGAAGCCAGGGAAAAGCAGTGTGACCTTGGGAACCAGGCCACCACCATTGGTCCTCTTAGGCTATGCCCCATCTTCAGGTTCCTGAGAACTAGCCTTAACCTTTTTACTCTCTTGCCCCTTAGACAGAGTTCCTCCCCTAGGTCAGGGAGGCCATTCCTAGCGACCTGTCCTAGATAACCATGTAGCTGTCTGATCTGCTTGAGTTTCAGTAGGATTTTAGGAATGTTATGACCTTCGGCCCTCAGCCCCCAGGCCACATCTCTGTTCTTCTTTAAGGAACCGGGATGAACGACCTCAGCACCCTGTCAGCTGTGAAGTTATAAGAGCCATCGCCAAGACCCTCTCCATTCCTGTCATAGCCAAGTAAGCCTCCAGTCTTCCTCATTTACTTTATGCTCCACCTCACTCAGAGAAGAACTGTGCTGATATAAAAAAAAATGGAATGACAGAATATTAATAAGCTGGTATAAGCCAGGCATGGTGGCCCCCACCTCAGCACTGTGGATTCAGAGAAGAGCTCTGTGAGTTCAAAGCCAGCTGGTCTACATAGGAGGTCCAGGACAGACAGGAGAGCCCCTCTCAAAACAAACAAACAAAAACTCAAAACAAAACCAAGCGAACACAGGGCTGGCAAGATTGCTTAGCAGTTAAGTGTGTCTAACACCAATCCTGACCGTCTGAGTTTAGTCCCTGAGAGCGCTGAATCCTGCAGCTTGACCCCTGACCTCCATGTGGTATATCTCTCCTATTCACAACCAACCAGATAAATATAAAAAGAAATGCTTTAAGCCGGGCGTTGGTGGCGCACGCCTTTAATCCCAGCACTCGGGAGGCAGAGGCAGGCGGATCTCTGCGAGTTCGAGACCAGCCTGGACTACCAAGCGAGTTCCAGGACAGCCCCCAAAGCCACAGAGAAACCCTGTCTCGAAAAACCAAAAAAAAAAAAAGAAATGCTTTAAAACTTGACCATGGGGGCTCACAGAGAGTGAATTGACAACCAGGGAGCCTGCATGAAACTCATCTGGGCCCTCTGCATGTATGTTAGGGTTGTGTAGCTTAGACCTCTGTGGGACTCCTACCAGTGGGAGAAAGGGCTGTCTCTGACTCTTTTACTGGCTTTTGGGATCCTACTTCTTATAGTTGGTGGCCTTACCCAGCCTTAATGTATAGGGAGTGCTTAGTTTTACTGCAACTTGATATGCCATGTTTCATTGATACTCGGAGGAGCTCTGCCCTTTCCTGCATGGAGATGGAAGAGGAAGAGATTGGGGGGGGGTAGGAGAGGGAGAATGGGGGAGAGGGACTTGGAAGGGAGAATGGGGGGAGAGACTGTAGCCAGAATGTAAGATAAATAGATGAATTTTAAAAAAGAAAAAATTGACCATAAAGAAAAGGGGTGGGGAATGAAGCAGAAATAGAAAGTCGGGAGCAAGACTGACACTTTCGTTTGGACCTAGAGCTCAGAGCATTCTGATGGTGGGCTAGGCTATGGGTTGGAATAAGAATATGGACAGTAGCCTGGCATTGGTGGCACACGCCTTTAATCCCAGCACTCGGGAGGCAGAGGCAGTAGGATCTCTGTGAGTTCGAGGCCAGCCTGGCCTACAGAGTGAGTTCCAGGACAGCCTCTAAAACAATACAGAGAAACCCTGTCTTGAAAAACCAAAAAAAAAAAAAAAAAAAAAAGAATATGGACAGTGAAAAGGTTGTAGAATCAGACCTGGGGCAAGATGGTGCCACACCTAGAGTTATGTATGCAAGGTGCAGGGGCTATGTGAGAAGTCCCAAGTTACAGCTCTTAGCAACAAGATTCAAGGAACATTAGGCAGGTAGAAGAAATCTAGACAAAGACCAGGTAGTACACTCCTTTAATCCTAGCCCTTGGGAGACAGAGCAGGTGGTTCTCTGTGAATCTGAGGCTACCCTGGTCTAAATGGAAAGTTTCAGGACAGCCAAGAAAATATGGTTAAATGGTATCTTTGGTATCTTTGAGAAAGAAAGAAACAAAGAGGGAAAGATGGATAGATGATGGATGGACAGATGGATGATGCTGGGCATGGTGGTAAATACCTTTAATCCCAGCACTTGGGAAACAGAGGCAGGTAGATCTCTGTGAGTTCAAGGTCAGCCTGGCGTAGTCTACATAGTGAGATCCAGGTCAACCAAGGTTATGTAGAGACACCCTGTCTTTAAAAAAAAAAAAAAAGATCTAAGCAAGCATTCTGGGCAACTACAGGCACATATGCTAGCAAGTGTGGGGTTTTGATGACTACCTCAAAGGAGTTCAACTCAGCCTTGTACTTCAGGACAGCACAGAGACTCAAGGAGTTTGGACATTGGAGACAGGGAAGTCTTAAGGAAGTTACCTTTGACCAGTGAGAGGAAGAAATAATGATAGAGTGGTTGCTAGGCTGTGTGTTCTCATCAAAAGAAAGTTTAGAGGTGGCTTTCAGGACTAACTGAGTCTTTGAAGCCACTTGCTTTTCCTGTCACCTCGGGGCCCTCTCCAGCACAGGTGTCTCTGGACTGAGACTGCTACCTGACTTTGGATGAAATAGTTGAGAACAGAGAAGTTTCTTAGAGTAGCAGGGTAGAAGGAGGGGGATTTTGACCTGACTGAGTCTCTTTGTCTTCTTCCATGATCATGAGTGAGTGTGTCCTTGCTTAAGTCTAGGGTTTTGACCTTAGAGGGTCTATGGACAACTTCTCAGCTTAGAGTTTTTCCTGTGGCCGCAATTCCACCTTTTTTAATTCTATATTTTAGACAGTGTCGTACTATGTTGTTCCATGTGGGTTCAGAACTGATTACATGGCCCAGGCTTCTCTTGGCCTCATGATCCTTCTACCTTAACCTCTGTGATGCTTCTTTATCGGTGTATATCACTGTGTCAGCTAATGACTCAGTTTAGTCCCACATCTTCCAGTATTGTCTGCCTTTGGCAGAGGCAAAGTCAAATTTCTAAAGAACCTCTTCAATGCCAGGCATGATTCAGGCTCGTCACTTACCAGTGGGGTATGCTGTATAAGGTACTTGACTAAAACTGTACTAATAATGAATGGCAGATCTGAAAATCACCTGTTTCTGGAAATTCTGGTGGGTTCTATTATGGCATTCTTCCTATGCCACTGTTGCTTTTTAGTGGAGGATCTCATGACCACATCCAGCAACATTTGGACATAGAGGACTTCCGACAAGCCACAGCTGCCTCTTCAGTGATGGTGGCTCGAGCAGCCATGTGGAACCCCTCTATCTTCCTCAAGGATGGCCTTCGTCCCCTAGAGGAAGTCATGCAGAAGTATATCAGATATGTAAGTGTTTGCTCTTTCTTTTACTTTTTAGTTTTGACATATAGTCTCATATCCCAGGCTGACCTCTAATCCCTTATTCTCCTGCCTCTGCTTCCTACATGTTGCTATAGCTGAGTCTGTGCCACCACATGTTTGAGTTTCTTTTTTTTTAAGATTTATTTATTATGTATACAGTGTTCTGTCTGCATGTCTGTCTGCACTCCAGAAAAAGGCACCAGATCTCATTACAGATGGTTGTGAGTCACAACGTGGTTGCTTGGAATTGAACTCAGGACCTCTAGAAGAGCAACCCGTGCTCTTAACCTCTGAGCCATCTCTCCAGACCCATGCTTTGCGTTTCTTGTCACTATGAGTGTGGTAGTTGTATTAAAGGATTTTTTAAAAATGAGGTCACTGGGTATAGCCCTGGGGACAGTGGGATTCTGTGTTGGGCTGCGTATGTACATGGTGGGCAGAAACAATGAGTTGCCCTCAAAGTTCTTCAGTGAGTTGTATATGAGCAGAAGTTCCAGCCTCCTCCCAGGGCAGTTTTCCACCTCCCTTTTCAGTCTCAAGCCTCACTGATGCCTGGGGTTACCTATGCTCTCCTCAAGCTGTGGCATTCAGGTGCTTTTTATGACTGTTAAGCTGGGATGGTAGGATGAGGCATGTGTCCAGTTCTTGGTAGCTTCGGTCCTAGAGCCTCCTTTTCCCAGTGCTGTAGTCCTTATCCTCTTGGTTCTGGGTGTCCTGGTGGGTAGGTTGGTGACTTCAGCAGTCTAAGTCAGCTACAGACAAAGGGCTAGCTCAGCTCAGGTCAGCTGTCCAGCTCTTCTGATCACCTGGCAAGTGTGTGGCAGAGAAGACATGTTCAGCAGTGCTGAGCCTGCTTACTAGGTGAAAGTTGATGCTAGCACTCTTGCTCAGTCATCATTTGTCAGCTTTCAAGGGGTTGTGTTGTCCTGGAGAAAGAGAGTAGCCCCAAGCATCAACATGGATGCTTCTGGTCTGATCAGGTACTTTCTGGGCCAGACAAGCTGAATCATGGTCCTGCCCCTGGCTGGGACTTACTTACTTATCCCACACTGTCTTCTGAGCATGCCATGGCACCTTCCTAGGCACTGAAGACAGGCCTAGAGAGATTCTACAGGTGTAGCGGGTGGGTGCTTGGAGGGGGCTCTGGAGGCCTTTCTATAAAGCCCTTACTTCCTGCTACTCTCCTGCCCTGTACCTAGCTGGATGAACAGTCATGCGATTATTTCTGGGCCTCACTTCTCAGGCTGTCTATAGAGTAAGGTAACAAGTCAGCTGTACTTATCTTTGTACAGATATACAAAGTGATAAGTTATGTGTATGAACATGCTTAGTAGATGGGGTTGTGCCCCACCCATGTAGGGGAAGTTGGAGAGAGGTTAGTCAAGATATGGTTGATCCTGGTTGTAAGAAATAGAAATCTTACCCCTGTCCTAGGACTAGATTTGCCTTGCCAAAATTTAGTGTGTTCCTTTTCCCTGTCCCAGAAGCTCAGCCTTAGGTTCTCCATGGTAACTTGTGGTGGCTGAAGCATGGGTTGGTTCCTTATACTTTTATCCTTCAGTCAGGCTGTCTAGGTAGGTATGCTGTTGAACATGAGCTGTAGTTTGACGCTTAAACTTTGTATGACAGCAGGAGTAGATGGCAGGGTTGAAGTAGTTCTTACATGGAGTCACATAGACTTGACTGTAAACATACTTCTAATGCCCTCTTAGAGCCCCTCCCCTTCCCATCGGAAGCTCAGGTCTTGGTGTTTGCTGGTAACAGGTGGGCTCATGCTAGTTCTCCTCTCAGGCAGTGCAGTATGATAACCACTACACCAACACCAAATACTGCTTGTGCCAGATGCTGCGGGAACAGCTGGAGTCTCCCCAGGGAAGGTTGCTTCATGCGGCGCAGTCTTCCCAGGAAATTTGGTAAGAGTACAATGGTCTATCCATCTATTCTTGCAGACTTGACCTTGATCCCTAGGCTTATTTTGCTGAAGGACCGGAGCACAGCTTTTGGATGTATATGTATAGGAGTGGGGTGGTAGTATAGTTTTTGCTTTATAGAAGGGGGTACTTTCACAGTTTTGAAACCTTCGGTTCTTTGACTGATCTTAGCAGCAGTTTTGGTCACTAGGGTACTGTTAGAATGGAGGAATGCAGAAGATAGGCCTGAGAATTCCTGAGGAAGGTGTTTTTCTATTAGTGGGCCTTTTGCTTGACAGGCTAACAAAACCAAGTAGTCAAGAGAGATGGGACTTTAGAATGGAGCTTTCGACAAATGCCTATATCCATTATACTGGACAGAGAAGCTACCTCTTGGTCCTTCTGATCTAGTACAGCTTTAGATCAGGTGATTAACATATGGAGATCCTTGGCAACTTAGCCTTACCCCAACTCTTTCAGCTTACTGTCACTTATGCTTGGGTCCTCTGTCTTAAAGGTCTTTTCTCCTCATGTTGGCTGTCTGTACTCTCCTTCCTCCAAGGCTTTCTGAATCATACTTGCCTTCAGAGACCCATGTGCATGGGTTTCTTCTAGAGCATAAAGCTCTTTCAGAAGCCTTTCTCCATCATTGACTTGTGCTTCGGATTCTGCTGCATCCCATACAGGCCAAGCAGCTGGCTCAGACAAGGTCCATAGTAGCCTTGGGCAGTAAGGAATCAATTCGTCCTCAGGATTTTGTCTTTTCTTCCCATGGACCCTCATGAGGATAGTACTATATATATCCCAGTTGTTGAGTCGGTATAGGTCAGCTCTGCCATCGCTGGCTGGTTGGGATGACCATCTATGTGGTCATTCTTGGAAGAAAACTGAGAATTGTGGGGGATAACCTCTGGAACCTTTTCTCCCCAGCCCAACCTCCCTCCAGTGGTCAAACTCATTCTCTATTTTCCACTCTAGGAAGATGCTAGCTAGCATGTGTAGGAAGCACCTTCTGATGGTCAGACTCTGGTAGAGTTTTGATACATGCGATGCAGGAGATTTGTGTGTGTGTGTGTGTGTGTGTGTGTGTGTGTGTGTGTGGTTGTGTAATGGGCTTCTGCAGTACCTTGGATGCTGTTTCACTAAGGTTTCTATCCTGCTTCACCTCTTTCTTCATAGTGAAGCCTTTGGTCTTGGTGCCTTCTATGAAGAGACCACTCGTGAGCTAGATGCCCGGCGAGCTGACCTCTTGGCTAAGACTCCAGAGGCAGTTGAGAAGCCAGCTGAAGATACCTCTGGCATCATTAAGATGGCTATCAAGTTTGACCGGTAGGTTTCTAGTGTACTCCAGGGCCAGTTGCCTAGGGGGTTGGTTAGGTGGCTGTTACATGTGAATAATGTCAAGTTTAAGAACTTCAGGTCTCCTTAGTGTGGATACTTGTTCCAAGTCTTCAGCTTCCCAAGAAGGTGCTTTTTGTTACTGCTTTTTGTTTTGTTTTTGAGACAGGATCTCTCTACATAGCTCTGGCTATCCTGAAATTCATTCTGTAGACCAGGCTGGCCTTGAACTCCCAGAGATCCACTTGCCTCTGTCTCCAGAGTTCTGAGATAAGTAGCGATGGCATGTGCCACCTATAGGTGACGAGGGAGGTCAATGCAATATGGAAATAAATATATGTTTGCCAGAGAAAGAACTTACAAGCTGGAAAAATCAGAAGCATGGCAGTCTTCCAAGAGAAAGTGCTTTTGCTTTTTCTTTCCTTTTATCCTCACCTGTTCCCGTACCCCTGGCCACGCCCCCTTCGGGCTCACCCCTACATCTAGGCTTACTTTTTTTCCCCCCAAGACAGGATTTCTCTGTGTAGCTTTGGCTGTTCTGGAACTTACTATTTATACCAAACTGTCCTTGAACTCACAGAGATCTGCCTGCCTCTGCCTCCTGAGTACTGGGATTATATGTGTGCACCACTATGTTTAGATTTTCCTTACTGTATTATTTAAGACAGGGTCTCATTTATCCCAGATTAACCTTGAACTTACTATGTAGCTGTTGATGACCTTGAACTCCTGATCCTTTTGCCCCCCCCCCCAAGAGAAGGTGTTTTCAGGGAAGATAGTCCCTGAAATCCCAGGCAGCATTAGTGGGAGCATATTTTTCTAGGACAGAGAGAACTGAACTCCAATTTTTTTTTCCTGACACACACATTTCCTTTCACAACTTGGGACAGGGAGATGGGTCTTCTGTTCCTGGGTCTGTGCTTTTCCCCTGGGGCTCCTCAATGATTTTAGGAACGTTGACTTTCCTTGACTCTGTACTCCTGCCTACTCACCGGCCAGTGGTGACCTCTCTAGGCAGAAGTAGCCTTAGTCTGATTCTTGTCTTACATTTGACTCAGCTTTGAATGGTTCCCTCATTCTTGTCCTCTGCCATCTGGGTCTGAGCCTTCGCTCTCTCTCCATACCCAGACCAGGAGCCAGTCTTACCTGGCAAGGGCTTGAAGTGGGGTTAAGAGGACAGCTGGTGGACAGTCATACGCCAGAGGGAGTTCCCAGTGGAAGACAGAATATGTCCCTTTCACACTGTCACAGACTGACTCTGAAGCCAGAGTTTATTGTGTCTGTAGCAGAGCAGATAACCCTGACACTCGCCAGCTGGATTTATAGTGGGCACTAAGCTGGAGCTCTTAGCCCCATTTTATAGCCACCTCCATTCCTACCTCCACCCATTCCCTCAGATCTTATCTTGAAAGGCAAAATGAACTTTCTTTCCTGGCTGCTGAGGGCTGTTTTCCAGGCTGCAGCTCAGAGAACTGGGAGTTCTCACATATGCACTCATTACTCTAAGCATGCAGAAGCCCATCTTCTCTTTAGATAAAAACCTAGGTTGCAGCTGCTGGTAGAACAGGAAGGAGGTGGGTACAAAAGCCTTGGGGCAGCAGCCTGATATTTCAGTTTCTCCAGTTCCTGTAGCACCTATCAGTGGCTCATTGGTGGCTCTTGCTAAGGGATAGACTAGAAATGGTGAATGGGCCTTAACTATTTCTCCTTCTTTCCCTAGGAGAGCATATCCACCCCAAATTACCCCCAAGATGTGCTTGCTGGAATGGTGTCGGAGAGAGAAGTTGCCACAGCCTGTGTATGAAACAGTGAGTTTTTCTTGCTGTTGTCTGTCTGGCATCCAACCACAGTGCTTCCTACACTGGTATCATCACCCAGTACACTCACAGCTTATACTCTCAGCTCTTAGCATCTGAACTTGATTTCATTGGTGTGCCTAAGTTGCTAGTAGTAGGAATAATTACTGATAGCACTTTACCCTGACCCTTAGGCTTATTGTCCAATTCTGGCAGATTTATCCTTGGGTTGGGCTTCAGTCCATGGGGCACAGAATTATGCCCACACGTATGGCCCCTGGGGTGAAAACCTTGAGATAGACTTGTTTCACTTCCTTTGGTTCCTGTGGCTGCTCTGTCTTTCCTACTGACCTTCTGGCCCCCAGGTTTACACTTTCTACCAGAGTGACATTTGGAAAACAAATCTAATCTCTATCTCTTTTGTTTAGGTTACTAGCTCCCTAGAATACAAGACCCCAAGTACCCTGCTGTTTGATCTCTTCCACTCAGTTTTCTACTCTAGCCACATCCCCTGATCCCTCTGCCAGATGTGCCTGTTTGCCCCCACCCTTGTCCCTTCTCAGTCCTCTGCCATCTGGTGAACTCCTTTCTCCTGGGAACTGGCCCACATAGAAGTCAGTAGGCAGAGGCTCCATAGTCAGATAAGTCTAATGGTCCTTTGTTTAGTTCAGTGACAGAACTTGACACACTTGATATCATTGCCAATTTGCATAACTGCCTTTTCCGCCTGAAAGATGCAGCAGGTACTTTCACATGGGCGGAGCATGTGATCAGGCAGCCTTCATTTGACATACGTTAGAAGTACTTCCCTCTCATTTGTGTGTTCTTCGTGTGACAAGGCAGGTGGGCAATCTACTCTCTTTCCTTTGCTCTCTCTGCACCAGGTTCAACGACCCATAGATCGAATGTTCTGCTCTGTTGTCACTGTTGCAGAGCAAAAGTACCAGTCCACGCTGTGGTAAGTCTCATCAGATGGTGTGGGATCCAAGTCTACTTCTGGTTTAGGAGAGTTGGGTGTATCATTTTGAGGACACTGGATGATGAGCACCAGTGTTATCAGAATCTCTTCAAAGGATGAGACTCAGGATTTCAAGGCTGTAGTGCTATTGTTTACTTGTTTCATCAATCTTTGCTTCATTTACCCAGGGACAAGTCTAAGAAACTGGCAGAACAAACTGCAGCCATTGTCTGTCTGCGGAGCCAGGGCCTCCCTGAGGGTCGATTGGGTGAGGAGAGCCCCTCCTTGAACAAACGCAAGCGAGAAGCTCCTGACCAAGATCCTGGGGGCATCTGAGTTCAGGAGTCAGCACTACCTGGGGAGATCTGCAAGAAGCCGTTTGTAGCCCTGGGAAGCAGTGAAGAGAATCTCCAGGAAGGCTGCTGACTACTCTCCCTGCCCTTGTCACCAGTGTGGGGTCTGATGTGATGGTGGTTACGGGTGCTGAGGCCTAAACCAGATGTTATTGGACAGTCTGCTGGCCCTTGCCATGAAGAAGTTAGAAGTCTTGGCCCAGGCCATCAGTCTGAAACAAGTGCCAAGGAATGTCCAGCCGTGATACTATATCCTCTCATAGGTCTGAATGTCTAAGCCAAGTTCCCAGTGACCTGAATGTTTCTTTGAAAACAGGTTTTCAGGCCGCACCTCTAACTTAACATTGGTACTGTGCAATAAAGACAGCCTGATGGCTAACTGCTCAGCCTTGGTCTACATCCTGGCATAATTATTCTACTTCTACCCTCTGTGCAGAGCTGGAGAGCCCCAAAGCATTCCTCCTGCATGTAGGGGATGAGTGGACCTTTGGGGTCCACTGGATTGTAGTGAAAGCAGGAAAGGACCAAGAAAAGCATTTTAATGGTGGGAAACCTGAGGTATAAATCATCAGTTGACTTTCCTGCTGAGAGGTTCTGTGTGATCTCAGGAAAAACAAGGGTATCTGACACCCTAGTAAAGGGCCAACCTAGTTAAGGGGATGCAGGTAAGGGCCCCAGAGTTTCCTTTATGCCTTACCGCTAATTTGACTCAGACCTGATAAGTGCCTGCTCAGGGCAGGGGGCCACTTGGGGGCTGCTGATGGCAGCAATTTGGCTTTTGTGAAATGCAGCATTCACAGATGACACAGTCACTTTCCCCACCCTAATCTTACTTAAGGTGGAAGGAAGTGGTAGATTCTCTTTAATTTCCTCCTGGCAGTGAGAAACAAACAGCAGCTACCACCACATTTATTGGGGCCCCCCCACTCCCCTCCTGGGAAGGGTGGCCCGACCAAAGGTCTCTGCCCTGCCCCACCCCCGCTTCCTCTGCTGTAAACAGGCTGTGTGACCTTCCTTATGCCAGGCTATTTGGGGGGAGGATTCCCCTCTAGACCAATCCTGTGTTTTCCACAAGTCCTCGGGGACAGCCTCATCACCCTGTGCCAGCCTGCAGCCCCTGGCCCTGTCTGTCTCTGAATCAAAGTTTTTGTGAGTTAGGTTATGCCTTTTTCCATCAACGCCCACATTAGCTCTTCTTTGTTAGATAGTGATACCATACTCCCAGAGGCCTCTCAGAGCCCCTTACGTTTTGACCTTGGGTTACTCACTTCTGGTAATCTGCCCCATTGGGATCAGTTGTCCTCTGCTCATGTGAGCTGGCCTGTGATAGGGTATTATGTGGCCATGTGTTTCTGTTTGCTGGGACACTGCCTTAACTTCTCATCCTAGTACTGTCAGAGTAGAGGACCCCACTAAGGAGGAAGATAGTTTTGGTCTGATCTCAGTCATCAAGATTTAGAAAGTTTGTATCTGAATTTGTCTGTTTCTACTAAACCTATCTTAAAATTCCCCCATTACTTTTCTTCATACTTAAGACTGGGAGTAGGAAGATCAAGGCCCCAAAGGACCACTTCCTCCAAGCATGCTGGGAGAAGATTCTGGTGACAAAAGATCAAATGCAGTCTAAACGGTCCTGGGCAGTGGTATCAAGCCTCTTCTAGCACTAGTGTGGTTTTCCTGGGGAAGCCCCTTCCTTGGCAAGGTCAGATTCATTTTCTCCACTCCAGGAAGCAGAGACAAGGGTAGAGTGCTGCTAAGATTCAGGTTGTTTGTGTTGAGGGGGAGGAGGTGGGAGGAACTCTGAGGAGTCTGGGGAGAGGCTTAAAGGCAGCTGAGGAGGGGTTGGCTAGTATGTGTGGTGATGGGGTTTAGCTGGCAAAGATCCTGGATGAATGTCTTGATCCTCATTCTCAAACAATGTCTTCATTAGCATTAACATGATGTTAGACTCAGTGACCTGCCCACCGTCTGGGACTGACGGAGAGGTCCAGTCAAGCCTGAAGCCATTGTCTTCTAGAATAATTCACTTAAGAGTTCCCAACCCCTTCCTAGGCTAGTAGTAGTATCCATCCATTCATGTCCCTGATTGAAACATTCTTCTTAGCCCATCACATTATGAGGGTCTTTTTTTTTTTAAATAGTATCTTGTACAGTCCAAGGTAGCTTTTAACTTTATTTATTTATATGTATTTATTATTTATTTATCCTTTGTTACTCTGTGTGTGTGGTGGGGGGGGGATGCATCTGAATAGCAGAGGATGGCTTTGTAGAATCATTTGTCTTTATGTGGCTTCCAGGGATCAAACTCAGGTTTTATGGCAAGTGCCATCTTGTTAGCCCTTGTACAGATTTTTCATTTTAGAATTTATTTTTATTTCTGGTGATACTGTGCTGGGGATTGAATCCAGGATGCAGTCTTATAACTGTCTTAGTTAGGGTTTCAATTGCTTTGACAAAACGCCATGGCCAAAAAGCAAACTGGGGGATGAAAGAGTTTGTTAGACTGACACTTCAGCATTGCTGTTCATCACTGAAGGAACTCAGGACAGGAACTCAAACAGGGCAGGATCCTAGAGTCAGGAGCTGATGCAGAGGCCATGGAGGGGTGCTGCTTACTGCCTTGCTTCCCATGGCTTGCTTAGCCCACTTTCTTATAGAACCCAGGACCAGCAGCCCAGGGGTGGCACCACCCACCATGGACTGGACCCTTGCCCATTGATCACTAAATGATAAAACGCCTTACAGCTGTATCTCATGGAGGCATTTCCTCAACTGAGATTCCAACCTCTGATGACTTTAGCTTGTGTCAAGTTGACACACAAACCTCACTGACAATTTTTTTTCAATAGGGTTTTGTTATATAGCCCTGGCTGGCCTGAAACTTCTTATGTAGCCCACACTGGCTTTCAACTTGTGGGGAATCCCTAGTCTAGCAGGAGAAGACAAAGTGATGGCTTGAGTTCTCATTATTCTCTGCTGACTTTATGCTGACTTTAGTAACTAACGTTTTGAGGTTGTGGTTGACTGGTCTTAACCTATCCCTCCAAACTGAAAGCTGCTCAGGGGCAGTCCTTTTCTCTATGGCCAGCATTGGCATGGAGGTAGAGAGCAGGAACAGCCAACTGAGGGTTCAGAGTCGGGGGCATGTTAATAAGGCACAGGGAGGAAGAGTTTCTAAACTCGAAGGTTCCTGGTTTTCTCTAGTATGAAACAAGGGACTGGGCTGGGCTACACTGTACTGTCCCATGGCTCCAAGGCATAGAAGAAGCTTTAGCAGTAGAGTCCCATGGCCAGGCCTGTGGCAACAGATGAAAGAAAAATGTTTCTTTTGACTCAGGAGGAGAAAGGGTCTACAGAGACCCCCCAGTCTCTGTCTGCTCTGAGCTTCTATCTACTATTCTGCCTCTGCCTTCCGAGTGCTGGGATTAAAGGCGTGCGCCACCAGCCTGCCCTTTTTTGTTTTTAAAAATAGTACTCATTTCCTACAATTGATTCTTACCTCTGCTGAGCCTTTATCACTCTATGTTAGAGTCTTAGTTTACCCCAAACCAGAAGCCTTCCATACAACATGACCCCTTTCTGGGTATTCTCAGGTACTCAGTATCGGGGGGGGGGAGATCTATTTATTTATTTAATAAATGAGTAAAGCTACTATCTGTAGCTTCTCTGTGGTCCATTATGAAGTGTTGGAATTGACAGGCCAGGATCTACATTCTGACTCCCTAGTCAAATTTTAAAGATTTACTTATTTTGACTTTATGCACTTGAGTGTTTTGCCTACTTTTATTTATGTGTGCTATATGTGTGCCTTATGCCTGTCAATCCAGAAAAGGGCATCAGATCCTTTGGAAGTTATAGATGGTTGTGAGTCATCATGTCAGTGCTGGGAACAGAATCCAGGTCCAGTGGAAGAACAAATGTTCTTAATCACTGCTTTATCTCTCCAGCTGCCCTGTCTCTACTGTAGCCTAATGGGCTGAGCCCCAGGTTCAGGTGGTCATAACGGGATAAGGGTAGACTGGGTCCACTTTCTCAATCTCAATTGTAAGTGTCTGTTTACAAATGGGGCTGAAGTTGCTCTAAGTTTAATGGGAAGGAGGAAATAAGCTGACCAAAATTTGGGGATTTTTTTTTTTTTTTGGTTTTTACGAGACAGGGTTTCTCTGTATTGTTCTGGAGGCTATCGGTCCAGCCCGGCCTCGAACTCACAGAGATCTGCCTGCCTCTGCCTCCCGAGTGCTGGGATTAAAGGCGTGCGCCACCACCGCCCGGCAAAATTTGGGGATCTTATAGGATAGTAGGATCATGTGAACTATTTGGTACACCTATAGCCTGTCTTAGACAAAAGGTTGCAGAGCTGATGTAGCATTTGTTCTCTTAGTTTCATAGTTTTTAGGTTAGATTCTCTGAAGGCAGGATAGCTTATTGTGCAGTATTTTTCACCCACCTAATATGTTAACTCCATCTGCATTTCTTATTTGTTAGGAGACAGGGTCTTATGTACCACAAGCTGTCCTCAAACTTACTGTGTAATGTAGGATGACCTTGAGCTCCTGATTCTTTGCCTTCACCTGTCAAGTGCTGGGGTTATAGGTAACTGCCACTAAGCCTGATTGCTTTCTGTTCTGCTGCTTTGAATGTCTCCAGTCAAATGTTCCATATAGAATTGACTATGTTAGTCTCCTGATTTAAACCCTGGTATGAATCCCTACTGTCCCCAGGATAAAGTTCAAGCATCACACAGTGACCTTCCAGAATCACCTTTGGCTTCTGCCCACTGTTCCATCTTTGGAACAAACTTTGCTCATCTTTTGTCAGGCTCTCCAGTTCCTGCTAGCCTATGAGACCCTGTAGTTGGGTGTGTGGATGTTGAATGTCTTCAGAGCACCTATCATAGCTCTAATCTCTTCGCACAGTAATTATATATTTGCTATTCCTCCTAACCCTGAAGGGAGATTATCTCTGTATCTCCAGGTCCCGCGTAAGGACGGGGGTGAGGGGTGGGGGGAGGGGGTAGGAGGAAGCCCTGAGCAGGAATGAACCAGTCTAAGATGAATGGCTCACATGCTCAGAACATTCCTTGCTCTTCTGAACCTAGTAAAAGTTGGTCCTCACAAGTATCCCAGGAATCACTGAGATACCGAGATCTTTGCCAGGAGCTTGTCTTCGTCCCATTCTCCCAGGGTCTTTTGTGAGTAGTATGAGATGACCTGGGGTTGGAGGTGTGATTCACTTCCCCAATTCCCTCTCTTAATCGTGCTATAAGTAAACAAGACTGAGTCCCCATACTCCAAGGTACGGAATGGTGCCTTGGACCATCCGAAGTCTCACTGGGGAAGGCAGGCTCTTTGAGGCGGAGCCAAAATTGAAAACGGGTTCTTTTGAC